TGTTTAAACCTTCCCCCAGGAAAGAACTCTTTTTAATAATGTCAAGGTTTTCACCACTGGGGTGCATACCACTTAACAAAACAGTTCATGTCCATGTTAGTTACAAATTTTATGAAGTTCTTACTCTGAGTTCAAATTCTATCACTTCTTATCTTAATTTTATTCATTGGTGCTATACAGACCACCTCTTTTCTACCTTCTACATCATCCTTTGAGTATTTGAAGGCAACTTTCATATCTCTCCTTGTCTTCTCCATCTTTACATTAAGTATTATTAATTTTCATAGGAACATGATTTCTAGATGCTATAGGTAAATTTGAGTTGTTGTTTGATTTAAAATATTCCTTAAGTGGAATGCAAAGAAGAAATCTGAAGATTCATTTCTCATTCATTTCAAACTATAGTTGACACAATCAAAAGGTCTGTCCAGAGCCCAGTAATCCACCCAGGAGTAAGCTTCTCTTTGATAACTGATGAAAGAAAGAGAGGGTAAGGGGGAACAAAGGCAGAGACAGAGACAGAGAGATGTGGAAGTTGTTCCGTGGTACAAAGTGGTTCAGAAAACCTTAACTCTCTGGCTGTAATGATTTGCTGAAAGTCCCAGGGCCCGAGCTGAAATTAACCAGTCATTCTCCACCATTTCAAAGCCAAACTCAGAAATGGCCTGCTTTCCTTTCACTTTGTAGAGCTATTAGACATGAAGACTAGTCTCCCACCTTGAGGAATGAACCAGTTTGACAGAATGAGATCAATATTCAAAGGACTGGGCTGGGCGTGTGGCTCAGTGGTAGAGTTCTTGCCTTGCATGCACAAGGCCCTGGGTTCAATCCCCAGCACCACAATAAATAAATAAATAAATAAGCATGCAAGCAAAGGACAGTGAGGAGAAAGACTACTAATCTCTAGTTCCAGTTGTTTCTGAAACTACCTCTATCCTTTTCTGTCCTGAAGTATAATTATGTAAACCAATAGCTCCTCTCTGGCTAAATAAGTTTGAGTTAGGTTTACATCACTTGTTACTCAGAGTATCCTAGCACAATGTCCACAGGGTTCCAACTATTCCAACAGAATTAATGGAATATGAGTCATAAAAGAGAAAAAATCACCATCCTGTCCAATAGGAGGATTAGGATGGAATATCTTCTAGCATTGTCGCAGGATGTCTTTCTTCCCCAATAGCCTAGTTTCCATAGGGATAAGACTGCTTGAAACTCTAAGAACTATCATAATAAGTAGGGGCTTAAGATGCCCTCCATTGTATATACAGACTGCAGACATAGTAGACAAAACATTGAATATAATTATGCAAATGAAGATACAAATTCCCTAGGTGGGAATTTAATCATATTATTTCTCCTTCTTAGAGTGAAATTACTCATGACAATTGTATAACTATGTTATTCCTTCAGTCGTTTTTATAACAGTAAAGAGGTATCTCCTAAAGACTCACTGGTGAGATAAAGAGGGAAATGACACACAGAAGAGAAATGAGCATATCATGATGAGAAAGAATAACATATCAAAGTAATAATTGGGGACACACAAAAATAATTGGGAGAAACCACCTGTAATAAGATAAAACAGGTCATCCAGATGTGCCACCTTCCTATTAGCTTCCAATCTTTTTCTAATCAATCTCCATGATCAAATGTTGCGGGATCCACACTGCCAGCCAAGATGATTATCATTTCATGTGCCCATGTAATTCACAGGATTGGTCCTTTGATTCTTCCATGCTTCCCTTTTCAGAGCTGGATTCCTACTTTGTCTTTCTCCTGAAAGTTCCTACTTCCTCTCTCACCATTTTAAATAACTTTTCTTGTCACCAACAGAATATATATTATATTGTGGGTCCCTCCACCGCCTGCTCCTCATCCTCCCTCCTATGATGGCTGATACTCAAACATGTGTAATTTTCAATTTCAACTGTAAGTCTAGAAATTAGGATTCTCAGTACAAATAATCAAAAAATGGTACCTCTGTAAGTCGACATGACCAATTTTCACTGAACTGCTCTGCTGTAAGGAACTGACCTCAGCTCCTTTTGTGATTAGTGAAATTATCATTATAATTAACAGCTAGTATTATACTACTACTATGTACTAGCATTTTAAGTATTATTGCATACCAGTCTATTATTATATTATGCATATATACTATCTTAAGCATTTTACATACATTAGCTCATTTTAGTTTTCATAACACCCCTATGATGGACATCTTAATTACTATCTACACTTTAATGGTGAAGAATCTTTCCGAGTCACTCACAGCTGGTTACATAGCTAGTAAATGTAAGTACCACATCTAACTGACTTCAGGGTCCTTGCTCTGACCCATTGTGTGATCCATATAGCACTGATGTTGGAGAGAAATGAGAAGGAGATGCTGAAGAGTACCAAATGCAGAGACCAGGGAAATAGAATCAACAGGATCTACATCTCAATTTTGCTTAGAGTCAGCCCTATTTGAAGTGGAACCTTGTTCCCATTATGTAGCAATAGATTATCTGCCATTTTGCATTGTGGAAATGTACCCTCCATTATCCAGGCTAATCTGGCTGACTGTAGAGTGCTGTACACAGACATTACAATGACAGACAACTAATTCAATCTTCTCTGCTAGGAAGATGCTACTGTGAATATCTCTTCAACTTTTTCTCCGTAGCTTTTGCTATAGGTCACTTCACATATTCCACAATAGTCCTTCCTAAAGTATCTAGAGCAGGGAAGTAATTGAGAATTATTGGAAGGGGAGAATGGTTGAAAAGGAAACAGGAAAAGGATTATAAGACGTGGTGCCAAAAGTACTACCAGAAAAAAAAAACATTTAAAAAAAAATCATTGTAGGATAATTGATTTCCTGGTAAATTGTGATTCAGAGAGAAATGAATGTTTATTGTCTTCACCAAATTTTTAAAAAATAATTTGAATGTGTAATAGAAACCATGTGTTTAAATAGCCAAGGTGGAATTTTTCTACACTGCAGAATAGAGAGATATCAGTACTTCCTATAAAAGTGAGTTCTTACTGCTTATGATCTCTGCAGAGTTTATAACAGTGGTGCCATTTCATCACTGAGCAGAAATCCAATTGTTTTTACAATTTACATTTTTCTAACTTCTCTAAAACTCTTCATTCTTTCACTGGGACACTGGTAAAAACAACATTAATAATAGTGCTCACTGAAAAATCATCAGATGCTTCTATGGGATAGAAACTACAAATGTCTCCAGTTTTAGTAAAATGGAAATTAGAAAACAGGCCAGCAACTCTTCTGGGTCAATTAGGAGTATGTAACACCTAAATAAAAAGAGTACAACATGGGCTGACATGTAGCACAAGCAATCTCCTGAAGTAGCAGTGCTATGCATGAAGAAGTTTAGAAGTAATATGTATTTGAAAAACTGACTAAGGTTAAGTAGAGAGGCAGGATCTAAAATAATATACAATTATAGTATATTATAATATAAGATAATACACCATTCCAGCCTGGCATGGTGGCACATGCCTGTAACCCCAGAACTCACATGCCTGTAATCCCAGCGCTTAGGGTTGAGGCAAAAGGATCACTGTGAGTTCAAGGTCAACCTTCGCTAATGTGTTCAAGGCTAGCCTGGACTACATCATGTCTCAAAAAAAAAAAAAAAACTCATACACCATTACAACATTCTAAAGTAAAAGGTCCTAAAAGTGTACTAAAGGGAAGCCTAATGTCCTCACTCTAAATCTGTTCCAAGCTGTTTTTTACTTTAACCAATATCCATGAAACAGGGAAAGAAGCAGAGAGGAAAGTATCTGAAAAACTCCCTAAATTTAAAAAAAAAAAAGAAGGCATAATGAAGTTTTGTTTGTTCCTGGAGAAATGAAGTAGTACTAGATGCCTCAGTGGAGGCAAATTCCAAAAGTCTGGGTAGTTTCCAATAAGTGAAGCTTTTGCACAGCGTCAAGTGGAAAAGCTATCTGATAGCATATATTGAGCTGAGTGTTTAAATTCCTATTTCCTTACACCAAATTGTTTGAAACCTTTAGGAGAAAAACTTCAACAATGTAGTGCTCCAAGCTTTTAATACTGCAGCCCCTTGAGAATGCATGTCAGATTAATCTTCAGATTACAATGGGCAGATAGAGCATTCGAACAAATTCTTAAACCTATGCCTCTCTCAAAGGATGCTAATAATGTCAGCGGTTTCATTGGCTATCAAGATTTCAAACTTTCCTAATCCCCAGCTCCATCACTATATTTAAGGGGGGAACGTTCCATCCTGAAAACGGGTGATCTTACTTATTTCATCTTTGTACCCACTTACCACATTGCCGGGCACACAGTACTGTGTGACAAATACTTTTGAAACAAGTTGATGGGACAAGGCCTAGGCAAGGGGGAGAACGGAAATCTTGCTGAGAACAGCATGGATCCAAATGCTGGCTGTGCTCAGCGACAGAGACCACCTCCCGAATTAGGGATACTGGGGCAGAGCAGGAACTTGCACGTGTATCTTCAAAGCGGCCTCAGAGGGGCCACCGAGGGAGGGATTAGCCCAGTCTCCAGCTTCACCATGCCTGGCAGTCTCCTGCCCTGCCTGTACTTGCAGCTTCCTCTGCTTTTTACCTGCTTTAGATTCCCACCACAGAATTTAAGGGCAAGCTTGGACTAGCCCGGTCTGCCCAGGCCCTCGACCCCCGACTCGTCATTCCATAGAGGTTTTCCAGCGTCCTATCCGAGGGAGGCCACACCGTGCTAGGCACCAGACAGGTTACACACCAAACGACGGCTCCGGACACCTTTGAGGGTGAAAGCAGGGTGGCGGAAGCAGTGGGGTCTAGGGAAGAGCGAGTTCAAGACCTCAGCTCTATCCGGAGGCGCCTCATCCATCAGGAAAAGCCTCTGCCCCGAGCACTGGCATGGGTTGGCCGGCGCGGGGATGGCTTGGCGCGCGGGGTCGACACCGGGGAGAGGGTAGGGAGGTGGCAGGAAGCAGCGGGACAGGGGACAGTACCTGGCGTGGCTGTGGTTGCGGGGACAGTCCTTCTTCTCCATGATGGCCGGCACGCAGTTGGTGAGCTCGGTCCAGTCGGCGTGCAGCCCGCAGCTCCAGCCGGTGGAGAAGCGGGAGAAGAGCCAGGTCTCCTTCTTGCCCGGCCGGTGACAGGTGCACTTCTTCTGGCCAGCTTTGCAGCTACACGGCTGCTCCAGCCGGATGTTCTTCACCAGGTGCCGGCCGAACGTCGTGCCCCCGGTCTTCTGGATGTGCAGGAACACGATCACGTCGCGTCCTTTGATATTGAAATCCACGAGCCGGGTCAGGTCCTGCAGGGTGAACTTGAAGCGCGGCGTGAACCGGGGCAGGGAGCCGTTTTCGGGGGCCTCGGGGTCCGGGTCCTCTTCTTCCTCCTCCTCCTCCTCCTCCTCTGCCTCCTCCTCTGGATCCCCAGGCTCCTCGTCCTCGTCCTCCGGGGCCGCGGCTCCCTGAGATCCTTCGGGCGGCCCCCGGGGCGGCGGGGGCAGCTGGGGTCGCCGCTCCCACTCTTCGGGGGACGCCTGTGCCCGGCGGGCCGGACTCGGGGCGGCGGGCGGGCGAGCGTCCCCGAAGTTGCTGCAGGAGCTGGTGCAGGAGGGGGACACGTACTGGTACATGATGACCACGAAGAGGAGAGTGAGCACGGGCGTCAGCAGCCACTTGTTGAACCTTTCATCCATGGTCCCGCTCTCAGGCCGGCAGGGGAAGCGGCGGCGGGGGCGCGGACGGGCGCCTGCTTGGAAGTTTCGGGGACTCCGGGGCGCGGCTCGGAGCCCGCCGCTCCTCCATGCCCCTGACGCCGAGGCGTGCGCTGGCTGGCGGCCCCGC